TATATATTATAACAACAATGGCAGACCTTTTGTAGCTTTTCGTATTAGGGGTGTAAAAGTGCAGTTTTGTTCTTGAGGTAAAACAGAATCATATATTGCATACCAACAAATTACTTTCAAATCATTTTTATGCATTTCTAGCTAAATAAAAATGTTTAATTTTAAGTAATTAATTCACTGTATTTCCTCTACATCTACCTAATTTTTAAATTAAACCAACATAATACCAATCTTTCTTTTGAAACACTTTCAGAAAATTTACACAAACATATTTGTTAAGTACAAAATGACAAATTTAATTAACAAATATGAACCCACCAGCGGCCGAGCGGTACTCGCTGAACACTGGTATTTCGGTTCGAGGTTCGAATCTCGCGAATGGGCTGGCTGCATGGGCATTTTCGTGGTTTTCCCCATGTGTAAAATGTATACGAGGCAGTTCCCCTTAGAAAGCTCTCCACGAAGGCATTCCCTCCCTTAAGGCAGATAGCCCTTGAGTGCTTTGCCGTAATATAATAAAACAAAAAAAAAATCATTAACAAATACATGAGAATGTAACTATATTTGATTACTGCTTTACTATATCTTTTGTTAAAAGTTTTATCACAATGTTAGAAAAATCACTTACAAACCTAAAACCTAAAACTATTTTTTGTTTTGAAAATCCTTACTATACACCAGTTTTGATAAATGTTTTGTTTTCATCATTATTAATTTGTAATTAGAAAATTTTATTTGTAATTAGACTCTTTCTTTACAGTTTACCATTTTAAAAATAGTGTTAGGTTATTGCACTCAGAGATATCTTAAATAAATGGGACAGAAGAATAAAAATGACCATTAAATAATAATTTTTACAAAATTTGAAAATAGCTAAAAAGGGGGGATGAAAAGTTTATTTATTCTCTCTCTTTTAATGCTGAGGAAAATATCCCCAATTCAGTTCTTAAGAATCAAAGTTTAGTACAGTCAAAAGTCTTTAATCCGGACTCGTCGGGACTTCGATTCCGGATTATAAATCATCAGTTTAAATCTGTTAAGATGGCATGCAGAAATTATAAAATAAAAAAACATGAAGCCATAATTTATTAAATAAAGAGCAATTATGATCTAAAGGGTATCAAAATTTACAAAAAAAAGCTTAATATTTATTTGTTTACTTTATTATTAAACATTTCTTTCAATGCGTGCATGCCTAAAGCATACATTACGCATAGTCGAAATTAGAAAATTGCAACCAGAAAACTATTTGATGTGTATTTGTGATATTTATAATGACTATGAATTTGATTTAAATCATATCAAAGATGGAGTACATCGAGATAAAATACTACATTTAGTAAGGAATTATAAGCCGAATAAAATAAAAACATCTGCCCTGAAGATAAGGATAGTGCTGACAGATCAACTTCCAGTTCATTGCCCGCCGCAACGTCATTTAGTACACCATTTCAACATCTACTAACAGAGAATTTTAAATACAGTCAAATACCTGAAATCCCCCAACTCCTGAAATCCGCGTTGCCTCTCAAAATATAAACATTTAATTTATAAGTTCCGAAACCGCAACATGGAGTATGAAATATCAAAGAAAAAATACTTAGTGGATAATGACATCATAATTACTGAATAATAATGAGTCATAATGGAAATACCAAATTATTGACATCATGATGAAAGTTTTCCCCTCCAATCTGCATCGAGATAAAAAAGCAGACGATTAACTCAACTCTTCTTTCAAGTTCACGCTTCATGTTGTTGTACTTTCTGAGCTTTGTTATTTCACAAGATTGTTTAGTGATGTTGTTTTTTTTTCCCTGGATATTTTGTGGATAAATTAAGAATATTTTAAATTTTAGCGCTTTTTAATACAATGACAGATCAGAAACACACTCGTGATTTTACTGCTTCCATCCTTGAAAAACGTAAACACGTTGCATTGACGGTAATGAAAAAAGTGGAAATTCTGCTAAATATGGAGGTAGGTGCTTCTTCTCGGTTTATAGCAGAATCGTATGGAAATGCCACACAGACTGTGTATGATATATGGAACAATAAAGAAAAGCTGTTGAAATTTTACAGCAACAGTGATTCTAACACCGGAATCCGAAATCGGCAAACCTCGATGCTGTCTTGCACAAGGGGTTCCGGCAGCAGCAGAGTGATGGGTTAATTATTTCAGGACTACTCCTGAGAGAAAAGGGGAAGCAGATTCATGCTGATTTAAAAATAGAGGAGCCTAATATAAATGAACAATATAATATAATCAGTTTATATATGTAATAACTAGAAAGCCCAGCGATCATACGAAATGACCGCTGTTCTAGATATTATAAATTGTAATTAAAATGATTTGTGCAAAGATGTCTCTTAATTCAAACTGAATTACCCAGGGCAGGCAGCAAGGATGCCCCTTTGCTTACTGCCCCACGGGGTTTCCACCTTCTACTTGCTTAATTGCTTAAAGGAAACCACTGGCTGTACATTTCTTAAGAGCCACCGCTAGCTCAATAAATAAAGGTGATTTAAATAATAAAATCTTAATTCACATGTCAAAGATCTCTTTGTACACAAGAATTTCTTGTGTAGATCTTTCCATCATTTTTAAGCTCGCCTTGCAGAGGACCATCCAATATTTTTAATTTCACGAACTATTGAATAGGCAACATAAAGTTGACCGTGTCCAAATGCAGGCTCAGGTAAAAAAATGCCAACGCGCTGAAGCGTTTGGCCCTGACTACTCTTACTTATCGATAGTCATAGCAAAGTCAACTTTTACAGGAAATTGTCTACGTCTCAATTGAAACGGCAACCCTGTGCCGTAGCAACTTCACCCCATTGGCTAGTACAGTTATGCAAGCAACCAATAAACTATCGGCAACAAACAGACACTTAAGCCGCATATATATATATATATATATATATATATATGGGGTGAAGTAACATCATCTTCTCCGAAACGGCTGGCTTCCGGGCTTAGCGAAGCACACCGTTTGATTCCGCAGGTCCGTGGAACGCCATTTTGACCATTTGCGTCTTCGTGGGACTTTAATTAGCTGGGATATTAATTAAAAACTAATTTTCACCTGCGTTTTCCCTATATTTTCCACTTTCTTTCTTGGGTTTTCCCTATTAGAGGGATTTGGCTACATGACAAATTCTTTTTTCTCGAATATATACAGAACAGCGCCGAGTTGAAATTCGAGACGCATATCCTTGGATTCCAAAAAATTCTCCAAAAAAATCGATACTGTTCTCATCTTCGTACGACTTTATACAGCTGAGATATTAATTAAAAACTGCGGAAACGTTAATTTCCGTGCTCATTTTTTGGAGTCGCAACAATAAAGTTTCGGCGACACACACTTTAGCCACTTATATATCTATAAAGGTAATTTAATGCATATAATTAATTATTGTATTAATGTATATAATATATTAATTTAATGTATCTAATATGCCTTATTTATTTTGCACTTTTAGTCTGAATATTATTTTTCTGTAATGAAATCCGCAAAATCCTAAACTCCGCACAACCTCTGATCCCAAGCGTTGCGGATTTCTCGACTTCTACTGTACTGCTAAATAATGGAAATAAATAAATATATATAAAATTACAAAAAGAACCAAAACTAACAAATTGTACAAAAATATGCAATAAATTAATACAATATCAGAAAATAAAACACAAAGCAAATCATACATGCATAAAAAATATAGAATAATATAAAATAGGTAAAAATGAAGCTACCAAAAAAATTAAAAACAAAAAGACAAATATTTACCAAAAAATAATACAGTCAAAAGTCGTTAATCCGGACTCGTCGGGACTTCGGCGATTCCGGATTATAGATCATCAGTTTAAATCTGGTAATATGGCATGCAGAAATTATAAAATTAAAAATATGAAACCGTAATTTATGAAATAAAGAACAATTATGATCTAAAGGGTATCAAAATTTACAAAAAAAAAAAAAAAAGCTTAATATTTGTTTGTTTACTTTATTAAACATTTCTTTCAATGTAAGTTGTTTAAGTTGCTTCGTTTTTTATGTGATAATACATTCGCTTTAATTCTATAAACAGACATAATTTCTTGTTCAGTTACAAAGAGCCGCTGTTCATGTCCTATAATTGCTGTGTCGAGAATACTGACTAATTTGTCAATCGAAATTTTTTCGTTTTCAATAACCTCTGTGTCACTTTCTTCTCTATCGGAAGCGAATTATAATGACGAGGAATTTGATTTAAATCATATCAAAGACAGAGTGCATCGAGATGAAATACTACATTTAGTAAGGAATTATAAGCCAAATAAAATAAAAACATCTGCCCTGAAGATAAGGATAGTGCTCACAGATCAACTTCCAATTCATTGTGCACCGCAGCATTAAAGATAAACAAACTGTAGATAAACAAACATTAAAGTTTAGATAAACAAAGGATATGCCTTTATCCATTTTTTGCAGTAATTCCACTTTTTGTTTAATGGACTTCGAAACATACTTTCACTTTGTAGATCCTTTACATATTAGTAAATATATATCAGAAATTCTATTTGACATAATCGAAAGTTCAAGCATACTTTTATAAAATTGCTCTAACAGTCTGCAAAAAATAATAAGCCGAATCCAATTCGAAGATTAAGGAACAACGCAATCTGCAGCATTAACTGAATTAGATAATTTTAGCTTAGCTTGTACCGACTGTTATACATTAAACGCGCATTCATAAATGTATTTTGCGCACGCGTACACGCATATTCGCAGCCGTAAAAGTCTTACGCGACGCATGCGCAGAAAGTTTGTAGCTTTGAGGTCCGGATTATGGGTGTCCGAATTAACGACTTTTGACTGTAATAATGATATCATCTAACTCTGCCTGCCATGAAATATTCAACAACATGTGCAATACCCATATATGTAAACATAAAATAGATTTAAAAAGCACTAATTCAGCAAAATTTCTACAAAATATTAGAAAAATAACAGAATTCTTACATGAATATCCATATATGTCAAAATATCATTCAAATCTTCTTTAGATTTTGATATGACAATGCCTATAATTTTAGAAATAAAATTCAATTACAATAGTTTCAAAAAGCTTTCAGTTCTAAATTTATAGCAGGCAATTCGGCAATCAATCACAAACGTCATATCAATCCCAAACTGTTTTAATGATATGTGATTTACATTCTCAGCACAGCTATAACACACAATAAACATTATCTATAATAACAAAAGAAAGGGTCTGCATGTTTTCATAAGGAACAAGAACGTTCATTTAACAAGCTGCAATGTATTAAAAAAAAGGATCTATTTGATACACATACTTTGTTGCTATGCTAAGTCATCTAGTGATTAAATATGTAGAGATATACAGAAAAATGATGCAGAAAATAAAGCCTTACAGAGTGAATCATCTAACTTTTTTAAACCAAACAGCCAGACACTTGCAATTTACTGCATTCACTGGAAATAGCTGGACTCACTGATCATTTAGCTACCTCATCACTGAAATGTCCTGACATTGTCCAGGGTGTTCAAATCAAAGCATTGTCCAGGGTGTGCCATAGAAGATGATTGATATTACACTCATAGAAAGGAGGAGAACACATACAAACAACCAAACACTATACAGGAATCTCTGTATAAAGTCTGACTGTTTGTCCTGTACCCGGAATTTGGACTAGCAGTCAGTGTCCATTGACCACTAGATCACTTAGGGCAACTCTTTAAAAAAGTTCTTCTCAATTTCCTAATAAGAAATAAAATTTCAAAGTAACATATAAACTGCAATTCTGTATAACTATCTAAGATTTACTTTAGTGACCTTAGATGTCTTTAATATTTTAATATTTTTCTCTTTATGTCATTTTACTTGAAAAAAAAAAAGAGCAGACTGAAATGCTTAAATGTTTGAAACAAATATTTTTAAATTAAGCTTTAATTTTATCTAATGGTAAAGATTTAACTTTATCAGCTGAAAAGAGTAGATATTATTTGAATTTAAGAAACACAAAATATTTGTAAAATTTCTTAATACGCCAAACATTTTCAATTCAACATTTTCAAGTCTTTTAACATGCTGACTGCCGCATGCATTTTACATAGTTTGCATGACGCCAACATGAATTTTTTATTAACCCTTTAACTGTCAAGTTATTTTGATGATTTGGGTACACAAATTGTCAAATTTTTTTATTGGAAAAACCAAATGTAGCCGAAATAAACATCTCCCGATATATATTTGGGTACAACAATACGATGCACTCAAAAAAAATTACCCCGAGAAATACTCGGGCGTGACATTTTCGAACACCAGTGCTGTGCCCGAGATAATCTCGGGCAAGACAGTTAAAAGGTTAAGTGATGTACATTATGTTGAAATAGTATCTACAGAAGATAAGCTGAGTTATACAAGGTCGCAAAAAATGTTCTTGCCATTTCTGATATGACATTGGAAGAGTGAACCCCAACATAAAAATAGTCGCCAAACCTGGCGATGACATGGTTAGGATGGGAGTTCAGACACTGACATAGAGTATAAAAGCACATTGCATCGGTACTCCAAACAGAACTCAGCAGCAACTGATGGAAATGAATGCATCGAAGGTGCTTGTTTAGAGTTGTTTGCTGTATAATTTTAAAGTCGGCCTGACAGCAGCAGAATCAAGTCACCGAATTTGCCAGGCTTTTGGGGATGATGCCATTAATGAACGAACCACTAAGAGATCCAGAAGTTCAAGTCAGGCGATATGTCTCTTAGTAATGCATTTTGCAGAGGTTGGCCACAAGGGCTGAACAATGAGACCTTGAGAGCAACCATAGAGAGTGACAGTAGACAAACATGTAGTAAGCTTGCTGCACACTTCCAGGTATCTGATGAAATGATCAGACTCCATTTACACCACATAGCAAAGGCATACAAGCTGAGCTAGTGGGTACCCCACTTACTGTCCGATGCAAACAAGCAACAGCCTGTCAGTTTTTAAAAACCTTATTTAAAAATTTATTAGTACCAATATTTAATCTAATTATGTATTTTCACTATTGATTGTGTCTCCAGTCACTGGTGGCCCCCATGGCACTATAGCCGAGTGCTGCCCATCAGTGACCCCGACGGGAATCAACATTCTAAAATCTTTTAGATCCTTATATAATGCTACAACGCATTTATCACCCAGGAGCTGCCATTTAGAGACAAAAGGAATTTACTTTATTTCCCATGCAGTCTGACAAATAGGTACACTCCAAATTATTGCCATTTGACATTTACTATACAGTAAATTGTTTTTTTAATAAAGTGTATGGTCACCTCTGACAGAAATGCAAGCTTTGCTGCATTTCATGACATCACGATTACATAGAATTTATCAAACTGTTGATCAACTTTTGTAAAACTGTACATCACTATTTTGAAAGTGCTTTTTTTAGATACTGAAGAATCCAAGCAGACATTCAGCATACTGCAGTTAAATGACCTAAGGCATTTCACGAACATTCAATTGAACTCAGGTTTAGTCAAGCTGGTGAATCTATTTTAGTGATATATTATGTTTCTAAGTACTATGGTGATCACTCACTGCAATGAGGATCTCCAGCATTATATTCTGAAACCAGAAATACTCTAAGCCAGGGGTTCTCAACCAGTGGTACGCAAGAGAAAAATAGGTGGTACGCAAAGAACCAAAGTATTTTTAACTATTAAATTAAAAAATTACTTCCCCAATATCCTGCATTACATACCCCAAAATTTCATATTTTGTAACACTTTAAATGAATTTTTGATTAAGAAACTCAACGATTTCAAAGCGAGCGATGGCAACACTGTACAAAAAAAAAAAATTTTATCTCCAGTGCGCTAAACTATCTATCAGAAATACTAAGGATATGCTCTTTTTCAATATTTTGGGATACTGCTGTTGAATTGAATTTTATGGTTTAAGTGAAAAGAAAATGATATTTAATAAAGGTAACACACAAAACGCTAAAAAAAAGTCCCTTTGGACGTAATATAAAATCTGAAACTTTCATAATTTTTTTTTAAATATTTCTATTGAGAAATTGAAAAATAATCATTGCAAAATGTAGTAGTGGTACAAAAGGTTTTCAATTTTTGTTTAGATGGTTTGCGTTAGTCAAAAGGTTGAGAACCGCTGCTCTAAGCAGATGAGAATTATTTCTTGCTAATCATCCATTAGCAAGAAATCTGTAGCAATAACATACATAAACAGCCTTATCTAAGGTTCCAAAATCTTGTCAACATAACTGATTTCAAAACTTTCATCACAGACATGCAGCTCAGTGCAGTGTTTTTGATTTTTGATTCCACCTAAAATCAAGAAACAACTATATGTGGAAGGAGATCTTCCATGAACAAGGAAAGACAGGCAGCATGTTCCTCATTCCCACCAAATCAGAACATATATAGTATCATAGTTTCAGGCTATATCTGAATTTATTAGTAAATACTACATGAGTTCATACCTTTAGACACTGTTGAACATGATAACGACCCCCTTAAATTGGCCTGTCTGGAAGATGGAGTGTGTACAATACAAATCATCGGTTTTCTTGCATAAAATCCAATGTTATGAAGCATTCGTGCAGCATTAAAATGCATGGTTTTTGAAATGATAATGACAGAAAATCATCTTCAAATGCAATTGTTGATTTTGGCTGCCTCAACCATGTTGTCTACTAACTGATTCACTGCTTTAAAAGCAGAACCTGGTTCTTTATATAACATTTTGACAGCATGATTGCCATTTGTAACCTCTATTTTTGTCCACTTTGAGCTATACACAATGACTAAGACTAACTTAAAACCACATTAACTTTAAACACCACCACACACTCAAATTCCAATACACATTCACTGCACAACACATTGCCAATTGCCTAATTTGCATATTTCATGCATTAACCTATGTGTAGCAGCCTAATTTTGCATTCAGTGGCAGATAATTCACATAAATAATTACACAATTGAACAATGGTTAAAACGTTAAGCAGTGAGCATTCTTGTTTCTTTCTTTTTCAGTTTATCCTTTAATGTTGATGAGTTAGGTACCTACATTCAGAATATTTTTTCTCTTGCACACTGAATGAATAACATAATAAATTCACTTAATAAAACAATAAAACATTATATGTTTTTTTAATTTTTAAAAATTTTAATGGTAAACTCTTCTTTAAACTGGGGTTTTCATATGGAAACTGGGGTTTTCATATTGCTTCCCAAACCCCTCCAGATAATTTGTGCAAACTACAAGAAAACCTACTGCAAGTTATCTTATGCAGCAAAAGAATTCACTTTTTCATATATCTTTTATTGCAAATTCAGGATCCATAATAAATTGCTAACCAACAAGTATAATTAATGCAATTTCAAAATAAAAGCTTATAAAGTATTTAATTTAAACATTAATAGCTTGCAAACAGAAAGGCATGTACAAAATATAAATAAATAAAAATATTAAATTACGTCCAAAGAGGCATTTTTTAAATTTTTTCTGTTACCTTTATTTACTTAATATCACATTCTTCACACTTAAACCATAAAATTCAGTTCAAGAGCAATATCGCAAAATAGTTTTAATCTAGCATATCTTTCAGATACGCAGTCTTATGTACTGGAGATAAAAATGTTTTTTCTGTGCAACGTTGCCATTGCAGGCTTTAAAATCCTCGAGTCTGTTACTCAAAAATTCGTTAAAGATTTACAAAATATAAAATTGATGATAAAACAAATTCCAAATTTCAAATTTGGGCTTCCACATTCCCATATTCACAGTAGAGTTACGTCATTCAAAATTCGATGGCTTTATGTACCATTGTTTTATCACAATGTGAGAAATATACATACATTTATGCAGATTTATTATTATTTAATTTCTTCGAATATAATGCAGGACTCTAACATTTGTGGCAACAGTTTCAAAAGTGAAATGGACATTTATAATAAACTAACACAAAATCGCAATACGAAAACAATAGCCCTTCAGGGACAAAGCCCCTTTGGACTAAAAAAAAGAGGTTCATGATTAATGTAAAAGAGTCACTGTATTAATTATGTTTCATGATGACAAACTCACTAACTACATAAAAAATAAAAATTAGAAATATCACAATCATTAAATGAAACTTTACATATTCTCTCTAAAGTTTATTCTCAGTTGACTATATACTGCACGATTTCAGCAACCAATTAATAAAACTGGAGAATATTTATCCAATAACTTCTTTAAATTAGATGTAAACACTAACTGCTTTTCTAAAATATACAACTTACCAGTTTCTGACATTATTTTGTAGCTGTTGGAGTTATCAGTAGTGAAATGTCTTTCAACTATCACTTTGTTCCCATATTTTTCAGGCTCATAAGGTAAATCACCACAGTTTTTTAGAGTTACAGAAACTACTGCATTTCTAGCATAGGAAGACAAAATACATTTATTTATATCAAAATATTTTAATTTTGTAGTCTGATAAACAATAAATAAATATTAACAGTTATGTAATTGCAAATTATACTGTCGGCAGAAATTTCTGCATTTTAAAAATCTAGCCACCTGTAGCAACAATTTCTTAAAATTATATCTATCAGGAGGAGGATATACAGAAGCACATTTTAAAAACATTATAAAGTTTTCTTTACTTTTATACAGTTTAATATTAACAGCTTTTATTTATAGAAATTACTGCTTATGTTTTTGTAGAAGTGTTCAGTAGCTATTAGATATGCTTTTCAGAAAAATAACATGCATAATTTTAAAAAGATGCTAAAAAAATTTAAACAAGTTCTTTTAAACAGCGACACAGCATTCTTGTTAAAGTCAGAATGCACTATTTACTACAATAAGAAAAATAAAACTTTTGTTCTCAGAGGACCTTGTTAAACTAAATACTTTCAAGATAAATTCCAAAATATACATTACATCAAGTAAAGTAAATAATTTCAATCTCAAAATCAGAGTAAGAGCCCAAAATACAGTGGATGGACAAAAATATGGAAACATCTTGTGAAATGCATGTTTGAAAAGAAAGATTGATTTTAATGAAATATGTAGGTGGCGCTGGCGTTTTTGACCACTGACGCCACCTATACAACTTCGTAAATGTGCTAAACAGTTCAGTTGTTGTCGGAGTACTGTTATGTGAGGTTGTCATTGCATTATGTCAGAGTTAACAGACTTCGAACGTGGGCAAATTGTTGGAGTACGTATGGTAGGTGCTTCCACAAGCAAGGTAGCCAAGGTGTTTAGTGTTTCAAGAGGTACTGTATCGAAGATTTATTCCACATATTTGAAAAGCGGAAAAACATGATCTGCTAAATCACACCGTAGACGAAAGTGTGTCCTGAGTGATCGTGACAGACGATCCTTAAGGGCAATTGTGATGAAAAATAAGAAGACCACAGCTGCAAAAATTACTGCTGAAATGAATGTTGTGTTACCGAACCCTGCGAGTACCAAAACAATTAGAAGGAAGCTTCATAAACAGGGAATTGCTGGCCGTGCTGCAATTGAGAAGCCACTCATCAGTGATGCTAATGCCCGTAATAGAAAAAGGTGGTGTTTAAGTCATAAAGCCTGGACTATAGAGCAGTGGAAGCGAGTAATATGGTCTGACGAGTCTTCTTTCACATTGTTTCCCACTTCTGGCCGAGTTTACGTCTGAAGAACGCCATCTCAAGCCTATAATACAGACTGCTTGTTGCCAAGAGTGAAACATGGCGGGGGTTCTGTTATGGTTTGGGCAGCCATATCGTGGTTCTCTGCTAGCCCCATGATAACTGTGTCAGGGCACATGACTGCCAAGACTTATGTGAACATTTTGGCCGATCAAGTTCATCCCATGGTACAAACTTTGTTCCCCGATGGTGCTGGTGTCTTCCAAGACAACAAAGCCCCAGTTCACACAGCTCACGTTGTCCAGGACTGGTTTTCTTAGCACGAGGATGAGTTGTCCCAACTCAACTGGCCACCACAGTCACCAGACCTGAATATTATCGAACCTTTGTGGTCTACATTGGAACGGAAAGTGCGTTCTCATTATCCACCGCCAACATCGTTATCTGAACTTGCCACCGTTTTGCAGGAAGAATGGTATAATATTCCCTTGGCAAACATACAGGAACTGTATTTATCCATTCCGAGAAGACTGCAAACTGTTTTGTAGGGTTTCCTACACCATATTAAGCAAAGAAACATGTTTTTTTAAAGGTGTTTCCATATTTTTGTCCAACCCCTGTACAACCAGGAGTAAAATAGTTGTTGAACTTAATTAAAGTTGTAGTACATGACAAATGTAACTTCAAAATACATTTCACAAATATTTATCATTAAATTAAATATTTTATGAAAATCAGCAACCTACTAATAATTAATAAGATAGTAAGTAAATTTAGGAAAATATAAATGAAGTTATTAGAACTATTTAAAAAACTGAAAAGATAAATTTAGATATTAATTTTATTCTACATTTTATCAAACTTCATACACAAGTTATTTTTCTTAAATAATTAATTAAATTTTTTCTTTTGTTTGTTAATTATTAATCAACTTTGACACATGCAACAATTATTTTTGATGATTAATTGGCAACTTAAATCCCAAAGCTAAATCTGTCTCAAAATTTTACTTCCTCAATGCTAACTTTTCTAATTTTTAATATTAATTAAAAATATTAATAATTAAATATGAAATTCAAAACAAAACTGTACAAAATTTATACCATAAACCCACAGTTTAAAAAACAAAGAGATATACTTACTTCTTGCCTTTTTTAACAAAACCTTTGACACTTGTACATCGTCCTGTTACACGTGATCTTCCTCCCAAAGCTAATATAATACCAGTTGCAACAGCACTTTTTCCACCTTAAGTATTAATTATTATTATTAAATTTGAGATAGAACAAAGTTATTATTATGCATATGCAGTCTTTTCAGATGCAGCTATAAAATGCTTAGAAGAGAGTTTAGAGCTAAAAAACATCTAATCGCTACAGGACAACAAACAACAACTGATTTTTTACAGACAGATATAGTATGCGTCAGCAATGCCTATCACTAAATTAATTGTGTTTTCTTATCTCTTAAAATAGTGCTAGTTTCAAAGTATTGTGGGTAATAAGTTTTAATAAGAAAGTATATCATTCTAATTGTTTTTCTTATCTTTAATTAAATGTATTTCTTATCTTTAAAAAGCATTTTGCAACAGTCAAAATGAGGTGACAGTATTATGTTTTGCTCCTAAAATATCAAATTGGTCTTCTGTATAAAACTGGCCTGTATATCCTACAATGGAAATGATCTAAATATGCTTTCTCATTAATAATTTTATACAAATTAAATGAAACTGCTACAGGAATATTAATAATTAGTTAAATGCTAAATGACATAGGAATGAATGATTAAGATACATGAATATTAATATCTAGCTATATGTTAAATATATTAGAAATGCATACTGGAGTTCTTACAAAAACAACAGCTTGCAGGCATAAAGTTATTAAGGCCATCATAAGCACAGCCCTCGGCTACTACCAGTATATTTTTATTCTAATTATTATTCTTAAGGCAATTAGTACAAATAAATGTTCCACAATGCTACAAAAGTCAAGGCTCAGAATTATGTTACACAAGCCCTAAGAGGTATAACTCCATGGAAAACAGCAAGGTGATAAACACACCAATCATTGAAAAATGAGTGCAATTTTTGCCTGCAACTCAATTTTCCTTCATTGTGAACACTTAAATTCATATATTATTATCTTGTTGTTTAAGAATATAACATTTGGAATTTGATTAACTATAGAAAAATATTAACTTTCATAAGTACTTTTCTAAGAAATGCTAGGAAAACTAAATTCCAGCATTAAAAATATATACTAATAAATTACAGCTTACTTCCATTGTCTCCAATGATAAAATTTACATGTGGCTCAAATTCAAACTTTAAATTATCATGACACATAAAATTTTGCAGTGATACAGATTCAATTACACCAAGTTTGGCAGCCTATAAAGAAATTACAATACAATAAAATTAGGTTAGAAATTAATAAAGAAGTAACTTCATAAAAGTTAAGAGTATGATTCAGCACATTTCTTTATAGTTTACAAGGAAATTAATTTCAACTATTTTGCAACTAAGATTATAAAAATTATCTTTTTTATAAGATTAGCTGAGAGCTACGTTTTTTCCAGAACAGAAGCAATAAAATTTATTTATAAGTGCAAAAACACTTTGCCAGATTATTTTATTTGATGTCTGCTTTGCATATATCCCCCCCCACATATAAGTTAAAAACTCTTACACTTATAACTCTATACTTCTTTCAAGGCATGTAAATACGATTTTATTCTCTACACACACATATACATATTTGTGCATATAAATAAATAAATAAATATGTGTCTGCATGTAGAAGTTGTTAATTTCCAATAGATCTAGATCACTGAAATCAATTAAACACAAAATCTCTAATACATTAACAAGTTGCTTTAATTAAATTAACTAATTCCTTTTTACATTTAACAGAATAACATTCAATTATTATGAATAGCATGGCATAAAACATGTAGCTGCAAATGCAAGTTTTGTGTACACAAGCTTTGTGCAAGTACTGGCAGCAAGGAGAAGCATGTCCATTTTTCCACCAGCATGCAAGAAGTGCTGGAGATATCACAGCTAAATCGGAGCCTCAACAGAAGCTCATTGCCTGTGCTGCCATCCAGCGGAGGTAACATAAGTACTCCCCCACAACTGTCAAAGGCACTGAAGCTAGAGATACCATGGATTAAAGTAAACTTTTTGCCTAGAGCAGGTAGTTGTCATATAAATGGGTGCAAATGATGTCTCTGATGGAGAGGACTCAGAATCATCAAAATGTTAGATAAAAAGGCTGGTTTAAGATAGTCTGTATTGATGACAGATTATCTACTGCTAAATTCTAGTGAAAGGTTTTATCATTATGGTCAAACACAAGGTAGATCGCCCAGACGGTATAGTGGTTAGGGTAGCCTACTACAGTACCGAAGGACCTGGGTAAGACATAGATGATTGTATATTTGGTACGGAATGGCAGCACTCTGAATATGTGGCGAGCCGAAAGTCCTCTCTTTTAGTACGACAAATCTACCAGTATTAATATAATAACTGGTCATTATATTATATATATAAAATAACTGATTATTATATAGTGGTGGTAGATTTGTGGTATGGTATAAAAATCAAGATATATATATATATATATACTATAAGGCATTTCATATGTTTCATTGATGTCTGGGGCTATGCTACACTGTTTAAATGAAATTTTAAAATTCTTGCTGAAAATTTCAGGCCATAGTGGTTATGTATATATATATATATATATAAAGGATAATAATGCTTATCCACACAGAACTGCATTGACTACTGATAAATACTTGCTGGATATACTGGATTAAATGATATGATAATCAATAACAAAGTGCTCACATTCAAAATATCTATTGAAAAGTGACAAACACCATATAAATCTTCAAACTTAAATCCACAGAACACATTTGAAATAGGCCTGAAGGAGTAAATGTATATATTACAGCAGTTTAAAAATGAGGGTGATTAAACTAGATAAAAAGAATCAGTAATAATAAATTGCTGGGAATTAAAGATTTTTTTTCGGGGGGAGGGGTAAACCTTCTACTGTAAAGGTAATATCCTAGCTAATTTATTTAGAATGTAAATTCAAATTGCACATATGACAATGTTACGCCATTAAACAACATGACTACAAAGCGTTGAAAAAGATTATACTTCCCGAATAATATTGTTATAGACAAGGTTGACATTCAGGCATGATCCTAAATAAAATGACAATGTTCTGCTTGAAAATAAGCAAAATATTCAAAGGAGGAAAAAAATCAGTAGAAATCAAAAATCGAAACAGTGCCTCCTATGAAAACTAATGCACAGACATAAAAAAAACTTTTGACCAAAAGACAATGTGTTTAGACACAGTGATTCATTTTAATTGGATATCATAAAAAGTCTGTGTCAGAAAACACATCATTAGGAACAAGGCAATAATATTAGGAAGAACAAAACTGACTTCTTTTTGATATAAAGGTCCCTTCATCACATTGTTAAAAAATTTCTTAATCATTTAAACAAGGTTCTTGAAACTCATTGGATTTTATCATACTTTGTTTATTCACCAAACTTATTTCTGTGCTATTATGATTTCCAGGACACATACATAGAAAACAGCAAGAACAGATTAAACATAATACACATAACAGCTTATCAGCAATCATTTATGCATCTTGTCATTTTTCAAAGCAGTATACATATTCTACAGAAAGTTAATTTGAATAAATAAAAGTTGGTCATTCAATATAGTAATTCATTACACCTAACATCAATCTCATTTTTAAACTCTTGCACTATATAGACCAGTGGCATGCGGTCCATATGTGCATAGGTCCATATGTGCACTGCACACCCTGGCAAAATTATTAGAGACAATCATTTTCTGCATCTATCTTTATATGATATATAACAAGTATTATTTATAATATATTCAAATATTATATTGATTTGCTTGCTTGTATTCCCGCAAGTGCATGCGGTACTAGGTGTTGCACAATGTAGCACGTTTAAAAGCAAACGAACATAGGAAGTTTTGATGTGTACGGACTGCACACTAATAGAAAATCACACTTTATATGTATGGGCTACTGGAGAAGCACAGCATACTAAAGCACTGAGGTAAGTGCAGCTATTTTTCCTGCACTTAGCATTCAGAATCATCCGAAGGTACAGTTTATTAAGCGTTGTATTAGAGCGTGGGTACTTACGTGCTTTTGGTTTTTTAACTGATTAACTGGCCATACGATTTTGCAGACAGTTAATGTTTAAATTTATATATTGTAAGATTTTGTTTTTATAGAAATATAAAAGAAGTATTTCATCAATATAAAGGGAAATGTTTTAGTGTGGTAAAGCAATTTCGGTGATGTATTATATTTATAGAAATAATTCACTGAAAAACAATTTTGTTTTGTTAGACAAAAAAGGAACGAATTTTAACAGAACAGTCCAAATTTTACCATTCATTGTGTCTTACAGACAGTATATAAGTTATTTATCTGTCTAACACCATATCCCTGGTTTTCGTTTTTAAAAATTGTCAAGATGTTTTTCGCAGAATAATATATTCCAAATGTTAAAAAACAATTAATAAATATAGTTTAATCTACAGACCGAACAAGAAACAGTTCGTTCTATTGTGCCAGGTACAGTGAAATCCTCTGCACGTGGATAGAACGTTCGGTTTGTCAGGCACCAATGAGTATCCTGATGACTCATCCTGATGTCATCAGGCTGATGATGAAGCACTGCAGCGGCGGGCGCCGCATGTGGTGCTACGTTTGCTGAAAATATAAGTTTTCCGTGGAAGCCTGAAGCGTTGCTTTTTCGCCGCCGATATAACACCATACAACACAAGACATGATTTTTTGCTTCAGTGCTAGTAAAATTCTCGTAAGTTTAGCTGTTTTTATAGTTACCATACCTGACTACTCGTAGGTAAATTTTATTTATTGTATTCTTTAAATTTATATCATAATAATAACCCATTTCAGAATAAAGAACTCAGATGTCTCAATAATTAAAGATTTATTGGAAAATCCATTTTCGAGACGAGACGTTACTACAAAAAACGAAATAGTTAAATTAAGTAGACCGATGCCGGATATTATTCTATCGCAAACGTTAAGATTAAAGGACAACAGTGTGTACAACATTTTCAAAAATCTATGCATGAAAAATTTAAATGGTTAACCGATTGTAGTGAATTGAATAAGTTATACTGTTGGCCATGTTACTTTTTGTTGTAATTGAAAAGGACAAGAATGTTTGGACAAAACAAGGCTACAGTGATTTAAATCATCTCCATGAAGCTGCAAAGAAACATGAAAAAACACAATTTCACATAAATGGTGTAATACTATTAAAAACATTTGGTACCGCCAGGATCGATTTAATGTTAGATAAACAAAAGGCTTCATTGATTGTTCAACACAATGAAAAAGTAACAACAAATGGAAATATTCTCAAGAGATTAATAGATGTAGTTTGTTACTTAGCAAAACAAGAAGATGCATTTGGTGGACACAATGAGAATATAAATTCCCTTAATCGAGGAAATTATATAGAATTAATAACTTTAATTAGTAAATATGATGACCTTTTAGCAACCCATCTAAGAACTGCAACTTATTTTTTGGAACCTCTAATAGAATACAAATTGATATTATTGCATCGATAAAAAATATTGTAATTTCAGAAATTAGAAATAAGGTAAAAAAAATGCCATTCGTTGCTATTATGCTGGATGAAACATCTGACATAGCTCACAAATCGCAATTATCGGTTGTGCTACGGTGATTATTCAGCGGAAGCTTTGTGTAATATTGTGCAAAAAACAATTTTGAGTTGGGGGTGTGAGAATAAACTGATTGCTGAAATATACAATGGGGCGGCATTCATGGCAGGAGCATTGAATGGGACACAGAAAAAAGTAAAAGACATTTCCCCAGAAGCTATGTTTGTGCTTTGTTGCACACATGTACTTAATTTAATTCTGTCACAATCTGTATTGTTTATAAAAGATTGTAAATTATTTTTTGCAACAATTTCTGGCATAGCCTCATTTTTTTCGGTGTCTACAAAAAGAAATCATGATTTAAATGAAATTATTAAAAGAAAATTTACAAAACTAGCTACGACACGTTGGAACTATTCATCTCGTTTGGTAAATACCATAAAAAGCGAAAGGCAAGGTCTATCTGATTTATTTGAAAATATTATTGAGAATCCAGAAGGCTGGGATAACAATACAATTAATATTGCAAAGAGTTATCGCATGTTGTTTGAAGAATTTAACGGTAATTTTTCTCCTAAATATTTTTGCCAGAGTGTTTAGTTATACTGATGTTCTATTTGATATTTTACAAAAAACTAACTTAGATATAGCATATTCTATCAAAAAGTAGAGGAAGTGAAAGATGCAATTCAAAACATGTGAACTTCTGTTGCATTTGATGAAGTTTATGAAGACATATTTCTGAAGTGGGTCCAACAAATTTAAAAAAACGTCATGTAAATTTACAAAACTCAAGTGTAGACCAAGACCAACATTTTAAAAATTCATATTATGAAATAATGGACACTATTTATTGTCAGTTAGATGTCTGTTTTAAAAAATTAGATTCGCTCAAATTTTGTGAACTATTTAATTTCGGTTTTTTTAAGAAATATCAAAGTAAATTTCCGGATAAATGCCTTAATTCGTTAAAGAACGCTTATGCAAAACATTTCCATTTTGTAAAGCTAACCAATGAATTATGCGTTCTTTATCGTAGTGAGTCATACCACGAAATGAATTTATCAAAACTTATTCAGCATATAATGCTGAATGATTTGACAGATACCCTAAGTGAAGTAAATAAATTGGCACATTTAATTTGTACAGTTCCATTTTCAACTGCTTCGGTGGAGAGATAATTTTCAGCATTGAAAAGAGTAAAAAATTTATGCACGCAATACAATGAGCCAGGATCTAAATTTATCTCTAATAGCAATAGAAAAAGAAATGTTACACTTATTACAGTCAAAACGAGAGTTTTATGATCATGTAATTGATGATTTTGTTAATTTCCATTTCAATAATGTGGATAGACATATGGATTTTGTGTATAAATGAATAATAAAAAGTTAAAGGAGTGTTTAATGTACATTTATATGGTTTTATTATTATTATTGTTCTTCTCTGCACACCCTGCATGAAAACCTACCGCACACCACTGGTATAGACAGCATACACCTACAAAAACCCCTATAATAAGGATTAAAAAAAAAAAAAGTTGTAATGGGAAAATGGAATTAACTTCACCAAAATCTTCTAAACGCTTTTGTTATCCATATCAGAGCTTAAAACAAAACGTACATAGGAGTATGAGGGACAGACTATACTTTATACTATCGGTACTTTTCTGTTTTGTCGGCGCAAACCATAATGTCACCAATAATGGTACAACTGATGCCAAACAGAATATCTTCACTGGTAACCTTTTACGCTTTATTTTCAAAACAACTCGCAGCCATTTCTTATCAGATTGATTGTTTCTTTTAATACTGGCATACAATTACATAAAAATTTTACAAAAGATAGTTAAATTTTATACCCTAAGACCATTTGCGGTGATTAAGTCTTATGTCATTTTACAAATTTATTGTCTTTATTTATTGGCTTTTTACAAAATTTTAAATCATATTACTATGTTTATGCCTTCAGAAAAAAATTCTTAGAACTAAAATTTTTGTGTATACTGTATGCTGCCGCAACAGTCTGCTTGACGAGATTTGCACCGGCAAAATGAAAAAGTACCATAATATTCATATATTACACTCTTTTATACTGTATTTTCATGCTTCCATGAATGTAAAACATTATCATTAAACAATCAGAGGGTCATAATACACTGTTTAAGGATCATACTTAGAAAAACCAATCTTCAAACTAGTCTTTCTAAAGCTTCAGTTCTTCTTGATTCATATTTGGATGTTAAAAGTTCATTTCATATGACAATAAGTAAACTTTATTTATTATTTTATATTTATCAAGAGAAACAAAGCATTTATTTTAAACAAAATTTCATTAAAATATCTTGCATTTTTAGTCATTTTATTTCTAACAACTTAATCTTGAACCCAGTATAATTTACACTTGATGGAAAGAATCATATAACTGTTCTTATGCTTTAGAATCCTTACACAATTTAGTATGGTATTCATACATATATATATATAGACATATTTTCCCTTAAGGTAAGAAGATAAACGTATGCACCCACAACCATATCTATACATATCAGTATTCAACAAATACATTCTTTGGTTAGGGGAAAAAAAAAAAAAAAAAGCATCATGAAGAAAGTGATTGCTTTTATTAGACAGGTAGTGAACAGATTAAAAATTCAAAGCCATAGGACCCATCAGTGGCTAGCAACTGCACATTGAATGTTGTAAACCCCCCCCCTCACAGTGATGCATGCTTGTAAATGTTGAGGAAAGGAGAGATAAAGATTCCTAATCCCATCTTGCAAGACATTCTGCCAGACATTCCTTAAATGGTACTCCAGATCTGCAATGTTTTGGGTTTCCCGAATCTGGTGTCACATCCCATATTTATTAAATTGACAAAAGATCTGGTGACCTTTCTGGCCAAGGAAGCGTATCAACAACTCGAAGACAGTCAGAGATATGCAACCATATGGGATCTAGCATTATAATGTTGGAAAATGGTTTGAGGATGACAAGCCATGAAGGATAACACAAATGGCCATATGATGTCATCAGCATATCATCAAGCTATCAAAGTTGTATGCAGGATAACTACAGTCAACCTGCTGTCATAAGAGATAATACCCCACACCATCACACCAAACCTAAAACCTGCTTCTGTAAAACAAAGGCTCCTCCATCCATGGACTCGAAGGTCATCAGTTCCAAGACTGAAGTGGGATTCATTGTTGAATAGTAAGCAATGTCAACTGGTCTGACACACCACATCAGATGATGCTATTGCATATTGGGATTAAAAGCAGATATCTTAAAAGATCTCAGTGAATGCAATTTGCTTCAGCCAAGCAACATGAGCAGCCAAGCAACATGAGATGGTAAAAAGTGCCATGGATGGTATGGAAGAGGAGGTAGTACGTTGGATAGCAGACGATGCCATTGGGGTAGTTCAGGACTGTTCAACAATCACCCGATTTTGCCTCATCCATACACCTTCACCTTCCACAGCATTGATTTCATCAACAAGTACCTTGTCCAACATTTTTGCTCAGCCCTGTCCCTATGGTGCAGGTGGCGGCCTGTAGTTCAGTATAAACAGCCTGCTTCACACTTCTCTATCATTGAAGATTGTCATCTAATTATCTTTAAAGTCTTCGACATCGTTGCAATATCGTATTATTGGTTGTATCCCCAAGGAACTACAATGTTGACAACAGGAAAAAATAAACTATGCAGTCTTTATCTGCTATACAATGTTAGCTTATGAGGTATTTCTCCCGCCTTTGTGCTGTAGTGGTCTACACGCTGAGCACATATTCAGAGGTCTGTGGTTTGAGTCCAAGCAAAGGCATTGCTCATTGCTCATTTTTCAAGTCTCCTGCTCCAATTAATTTCATGTCTCTACAGTGACGCCTGAACTAAACAGGTGGTGGATGATGATTCTCCTCACCCAAGATTTGGTGATTGGGTCCCCTAAAAAACCCAGTCGCCTATTAAAAGGGGGAGTATATAAGGTATTTCTCCAGGCTGGATGCTATTATGTCTTATAATTTCGATTTTGGGAAACTATGGATTTTTAATTTTACCAGCCACTAAAACGTTGTAGTACACTACAACATTTTAGTGGCTGGTGACACTAACACCAGCCACTAAATGTTGTAATACACTGGAAACAATGAAACCAGCATATCTATTCTGCTCAAACTGAGGAAGATCTCTCAGATCCATGACGTCCATCTCCAGTGGATCCCATCACATCTTAATATTGGTGGTAATGAGGTTGCTGATATATTAATTTCACATATAATAAATTCTAACTTCAAAATCTTATTACTACAACCAACTAAACAAATACAGTCAAGGGATTTAACACTACCTGAAGCAGACAATACCGCTTTGCACCACGTACACTTTCACTAGCGTTACAAGGTCTTCTTTTACTCATGTTCACTCCATCTATATTTGAAATATAAAAAGTGTGCTTTTTTAATACTAATTATAATAAAAGGCCTTTCACAAGCATTTATTAAAGAGTAGCAAATGCAACAACTTAAAAAAAGGGGGAATTTTTTAATTATGAGAAGTTTTAAGATGATATTAAATTTTAAATAATTATAATTCATGTTTAGAAATTTTTAAAACTACATCAAAATACCTAAAGCAGTGAAGATTTAAAAAATAATAATGAGAAGGATGCCATTTCACATTTTTTTTTTTTTTTTTTAAGAATTTTATATGAATGATTTTTGCTGTTAATAATTTTGTTACAAGACATTCATTCTTTCAGCATGGTTCTTACTGAATTCTTCATCTCAAGCTAACTTTAAAAGTTCAGTGGAGGCTGAAAATTATGATGTAATTTAAACAGCTAACCCTTGTGAGTTTTAGATAAATAAGGCAAGTAAAAATGACTAAGCATAAAACAGAGAATTTAACAAGGAATTAACCAAAAACGATATAACAGATTACAGTATTACATTAGGTACTTAAAACAACAATTCACATTCAACTCATTTAATTTTAAAAACTACAGAAAAGTTCTTTCATGGGAAACATTCTAAATGTTTAGTACAGGCAACCCACCAAGTTACACATCACAAAGCATGTAAATAAAAAATAAATAAATAAAATTCAAAAATAATAGACCACCCTGTCCATACTTTTATAAGGATAAAAAAATTTTAACGAATGCATAAGAGCTTTTTATTTATTTATTTATTTTTAGCAAGGGGTGAATATTTAATTCAAATTTTCATAAACAGATTATACTGCACTAAAATACTGATAGACATTTTGAGCTGTACAGTATAACTGAGGAATGTAATTTATGTTAATACAAAATACACTTTTACATACTTCAGAATGGTATAATAGTTCATACCAAATTTACAAAGTTAAATTACATAAACACCAGAAATTCAATCATATTTACTAATTTAAAAATTTTTGTTAACATACATTCATGGTTAGACATTCATACAGAGAAATACATACAACTACAAATAATTCCACTGGAATAGTACCATGAAATACTTGCATTTCTTGGACAGTTGTCTATGTTATACCACCTATTCTGAGACTTATACAAAAGGCACTTTCTTACTATTTTTGCATTATACTACATTAAAACTGAGGTTTTCAAAAATACACATAATTTTTTATTTATTACGCATCAAAACTGTTTTCTTAGGATAAGATTAGATCAGCGGTTCTCAGCCTTTGACTAACATGTACCGTCTAAACAAAAATTGAAAACCTTTAGTACCACCACTACAAAGTACTACTACCACCACCACTCTTGAACAAAGTTCAGATTGCAGTTAAATTTACGACTTAAGACTTTACGATTTTAAGATTTTAGACGATTATTTTTACGATTTTAAGACTGCAGTGAAATTTACGAGTGTTAGAGAACTAACACTCGTAAATTACCACCTACTTTTCTCTTGCGCACCACTAGTGGTACGTGAACAAAACTAGTGGTACGTGTACCACTGGTTGAGAACCCCTGGATTAGATTATTTAGTCATAGCAAAGCATACTAGAGCTAAAAGAGATTTTATAAATATTAAACCTTAGATGATACATAAAAGTCCTTTTTATACTAAAATATGCCTATTTAAAAAAATTAAAAACTTATTGAATGGAATTTTATACTTTTTTTCAATTAACCACAAAGAAAAATACTTCAAAATGTTTTGCATGCATTAACATGCCACAGTTAAATTATGTATGTAATAAAATTTTTAATAATTTGAACGTAATAATTTCTAGCGATTCAGTATGAGAAAAGTATAGGCATCTTATTTTGAGAAAGCATACAGTTTATTGAAAGAGAATTTTGCATTATCTCTGACCACCTCTCTGAATAAATATATATTTACTGTAAACAAGTTACAGTACAAAGTCCATAATCCGGACATCCATTATCCGGAATGATCTATAATCTGGACCTCAAAGCCACCAACTTTTTTTTGTATGCTTTACGCATGCGCGCATTTAGTGTATAACGGACAGCATAAGGTATGCTAAAATTACCTTTACTGATTCTAAGGCATTTCGGTTAATGTTGCAGATTGCGCTGTTCCTCAATTGCAAGATTGTGAGAGGATATGTCTCCAGATACGTTAAAAAATGGTTGGCATAATTTATGGCCAGCTACCATATTTCATGGTAAGGACGACGAAGATGACAACTGCGAATTTGAAGGTTTTCGGACATCGCAAACTAAAGAGGAAATTTTCCAGTTATTGGATTTTGTAAAGAAATGTGGAGAACAGGTAATAAATGAAGATAATATAACAGAAGGTTTTCATTGCGACGACAATACCCCAATCATCAATCAATTAACGGACGATGAAATCTGTAGTATGGTTCTAGATCCAGAAAATACTGCTTCCGATAGCGAAGAAAGTGACAGAGAGGTTGTTGAAAACAAAAAAATTTCGATTGACAGTTAGTCGGTATTCTTGACACAGCAATTACAGGACTTGAACAGTAGAACTTTGTAACTGAACAAGAAATTATGTCTATTTATAGAATTAAAGAAAAACTATTAGCACAAAAAGTGAAGCAATTTAAACAACTTACATTGAAAGAAATGTTGAATAAAGTAAACAAATAAATATTAAGCTTTTTTTTTGTAAATTTTGATATCCTTTAGATCATAATTGCTCTTTATTTCATAAATTACAGTTTCATATTTTTAATTGTATTATTTCTGCATGCCATCTCACCAGATTTAAATTGATGATCTATAATCCAGAAAAACCCCTAATCCGGAATCGACAAAGTCCCGATGAGTCTGGATTATGGACTTTGTACTGTATTTATTTCGGTTGGATCAGTTATATAGCGTCTATCTGCTATATAATTTGGCCCTTTTCTAAGTTCTATTCAAGATTGGTCTAGTTAATCCTGCTAAAAGAACCTACATTACATGTAAATAATGGCAGAATGTTTTTATAAGTGCTATGGAATAACATATTTGATATATAATGCAACATTACAATTTACATATTGGTTATGGTATTTATTTTTTTTTTATTTTTTTCAAACTGCACATTTTCTATGCTTTTCATCTAATGTTCTTACTAAATAATATATCCTTCAATTTTTTTTTTTTTTTTTTTTTTTTTTTTTTTTTTAAGCTTCTGGTATTTATTTCTGTGAGCTCATACTGTAGGATGGTCTCCTACTATTTTTTTTTGGGGGGGGGGGGTAAGCCACAAAGTGTAAACTCAAAAAGAATCTTGCAGCTTCTGAAATTTAATAATGACATTTCTTTCATTAGCAGTGCAGATATTGTATGAGCATTAATTAACACCATATATACAGTATTGATAGAACAGGAAAGTACCACTTTTTGCTTCTAATTTTAATTTTGTCAACACCACCCATATTCTTATTGTAATTTGCAGTGACATTTGCACTTGTTTTCTCTCAGTTCTTGACCATCTTTCGCACAAGGTAAAAGTTAAGATGCTGTTTGGTGTATGCGATTATGGTAAAGCCTCAAATGCTATCTGCCTAAGGGGAAGGATGCCTTCGTAGAAGACTTCCTAATGAAAACTGGTTCATATACAAGTTGCACATGGAGAAAACCATGAAAGCATCCATGCAGCCAGCTCATTCGTGGGATTCGAACTTAGGCTCCGATCGAATTGGACAGAAATGAACTACAGTCAAAAGTCGTTAATCTGGACTCGTTGAGACTTCGGCGATTCTAGATTATCGATTTTTCCAGATTATAGATCATCAGTTTAAATCTCGTAACATGGCATGCAGAAATTCTAAAATTAAAAATATGAAATCGTAATTTATGAAATAAAGAACAATTACGATCTAAAGGGTATCAAACTTTACAAAAAAAAGCTTAATATTTATTTGTTTACTTTATTACACATTTCTTTCAATGTAAGTTGTTTAAGTTGCTTCGTTTTATGTGATAATACTTTTGCTTTAATTCTATAAACAGACATAATTTCTTGTTCAGTTACAAACAGCCACTGTTCAAGTCCTATAATTGCTGTGTCGAGAATACCGACTAATCTGTCAATCGAAATTTTTTTGTTTTCAATAACCTCTGTGTCACTTTCTTCACTATCGGAAGCGAATTTTAATGATGAGGAATTTGATTTAAATCATATGAAAGATGGAGTACATCGAGATTAAATACTACATTTAGTAAGGAATTATAAGCTAAATAAAATAAAAACATCTGCCCTGAATATAAGGATAGTGCTGACAGATGAACTTCCAATTCATTGCATGCCGCGGCATTCCCCCCCCCCCTTGGTATGGATTAAGGTACCCCTTGTATTATGGTGAAGTAGTTCTTTGATTTATTGCCAAGTTGTTGTTTGATTCATCGCCAAGTTGTTGTTTCATTTATGGTAGCCTGAGTAGTTGAATGTTATGGAAACCCTATTGTGATGTAATCGGGTGCATGATTCTGGGAAATTTTGAATCATGGGATCGTTTTTGTGGTGCGTGTTGGTTTGATTCTTTAGACAGTAGAATGGCCGAATGTAGTAAGATTAATTTGAAGTTTCTGTACGATTTGGAGTGAAAGGGAAAAAGAGCTTTAATTGGCTGGTGTGTAAATGAAGGTTTACTTAGTAGCCATTATAAGCGTCCTGCATGTAGGAAGGATATGCGTCTAGTCGAACATAAAAACCGTTTAGATGGATTTGAATGAGTTTGTAGGAAGAAAGGTTCAGATGGTCACTATGTGAAGCATTCGATCAGAAAGAATACCTGGTTTGAAAAAAGTCATTTGAGTATGATTGATATTTTGATTTTTACGTGGCTATGGGTGTACGAAACGAACTCGAAAATCATGGTAAGTGAATATTTGCTTTTGGTAGTGCTTAAATGTACAACATGTTTTTCCTTTTTTATGTTATTTTATTGTTTGGTTTAAAATAGATTTTATTGAGATTATGTATTTTTTG